AACCCTTCATTTTTTTCCTTGCACTCATTCTACCACCAACCCCCCATTTTACCCTGCCACACTCATTCCAGGCTAGGTGCTCCCTGGCTAGGTGCTCACTCACAAAGGTCAGATCCACAATGGAGGTAGAACCTCCCCGCCCGTACGTTGGTTCATCCCCACGGTTTAGGAGCACCAGGTTCAGCAGCGCCATCGTCTCCAGCACGGCTTGCCCTCTGGTGTTCGTCTCTCTGCTGCCCCACTCCACGGCCCAGGCATTGAAGTCGCCAGCAATCACAACAGGGAAGTGCTGTTGCGCATCCTCCGTAAGTCTATCCAGGAAGGCGGTGAAATCCTCGATCGACAGGCTCGGCGGGGCGTAGCAGCTGTAGATGTTGACCCCTGCTACCCTGGCCCTCATGAACCCGCACTCCTCGCCGCTGTTGGTGGTTTCGATCGGAGCACCCCCGCAGATCCAAACCGCCGCACGCCCACTTGAGTCCGCAACCCAACCCCTGTTCCCGAAGTGGTAGTAAGGTTCTGAGATGCAGACCAGGTCGATCCTCAACTCGCGCGCCGTCTGACCAAGAAGGTCGTGCGCCGCTACACAATGGTTGAGATTGACCTGTAACACCCTCATTTCCTGCCGTTACAAGTCTTCTTCTGGAGAGCGGCACGGAACTCTGGACACCTGCCCCCGCCGGCTATATGCTCCAGGTCTGCCTTGCTGTCGTTGTCCGCACAGATCGCGCACTTCGGAGTGGCTTTGCACTCGCTCGCCTTGTGTCCTGGTTCAGCGCATTTGGTGCATAGCCTGGATCTGTCCACCTTACTTTTGCAATGTATGGCCATATGTCCAAAATGCCAGCACCTGTAGCATTTGGGTGGCCTTTCCACCCTCACAATGCGGCAGTTGACCCAACCGATCTTGATTTTGGAGGTGTCCCCGACAACTTTCCTAGCAACCTTAGCTGCCAGTGAGACCACCGCCGTCTGGGTTCCTCGGAAGCCCTTTCGCACTGCTTTCACAGCACCGATGTCGATGGAGAATTCCTCCCCCGCGGCTGCCTGCAGGGCCTCGAGCACCTCTTCCTTCGTGGTGATTTCATCGAGGTCCTTGATCTCCAGCTCCTCCTGTGGTCCCTTGCTGACTACCTCAGCATCGTCCCCCAGCAGATCAGCGATGGTCTTCCTTAGTTGAGGGGCCCCATCGGTCGCCTTCCTCAGTGTTAGGAGCATGTCACCTGTTGTTGTTCGGCGAATGCTCTGCACGCATGCCGCCTGGTCCTGTGGCACCTCCTTTTTAACGCGGCGGAGGATGTCACAGTATTGCTCCTTGCTCACGGGGCGTACGATAAGGGCATCAGGTCGCACTTGCGGCCTTCGGCGAGGCCCGTCCTGCTTCTTCCTTTTCACCTTGCCTGCCCCGTCCTCGCGTCTGAGCCCGGTCGGCTTTCTCCTTCCCTTTACCACGACCCAGTCCGGCTGAGCGGGTGGTTTCTCGCCCGTCTGCTTGGGCAAGTCAGCCTGTCTAGCCGGCGTGTACTGCTTGCACTTCTTCGGCACTTGATTTATGGTGCCCGGTGAGTCTTTCGACCGTTTCCTTCGAAGTCCTTTACGAGACTCCCGGTCATCCTCAGCGTCGGTGTCCTTCACCGTAGTCTCCGAGTCCTTCCTACTGCGCTGTGCTGCCTGAGGAGTACATCCGCCGTCCTTTCCCGCCACTGCCACTGGGATACTGGCCTGCCTGGCTTGTGTCACCTCCAATTCCTTCAATCTGCGCATAGCGCTGCAGATTGATGTCACCTTTGTTTTTATTTCTCGGTGCACATTCGTCTTCGGTTGGATCAGGTCGTGTAGGCCATAGATGAGGCTCTCCAATTTAGAGAAGGCATCCTTCCACTGTGTGTTAGCGACGGCGGGTACCTCTGTAAGTCCCGCGGGGGGCACGCCCGCCGTATTCATCCTGCCCTTACACACTTCACTCGTAGTCCTAGACATAATGGAGGCCGAGCGGGCCACCTCCAACATGCTGCAGTCACTGGATGAAGACGCCAAAGAGCCTGCTTTCGCACTCTCGGACGCCTGTACTGGGGTATCCCTCCCCTGCACCGTAAACGAGGCTGGTTTTATGAAGTCCATGTCCATCGTAGAGTGTGTTTGGTCCGCGGGGACTCAGAAGCCTTCGTCCCTACCCTTCCTCCCGTAGGAGAGAAAGGGCACTCCCCTATCCGCCACCCGGGGACGCGCCGTGTAGCAGTATCACCTCTGCCCACGGAACGACGCAATGAATCGCTGGATGGGGGAGGCTGGGCTGTGCCTGGCTGACCACAAAACGGAGGCCGTGCTAATCTCGGGCAGAAGGGCACTGGAGACCATCTCGCTGCGTGCCGGGGACAGTGATCTCACCTCCCAGCCGTACATCAAGTACCTGGGAGTGATGATTGATGCCCGGCTGAACTTTAAACAGCAGGTGGAGTACAGCACCACCAAGGCATCGGCGGTCCAGGCGGCGTTATCCCGCCTTATGCCGAATGTTGGAGGGCCCAGGCAGGAGAGGAGGCGACTGCTTGCATCAGTTATCACCTCGGTACTGTCCTATGGCATGGCCATCTGGGGGAATACCCTCCAGGTCCAGAACACCAGGCGACGAATGGTGGCGTGTCAAAGGCTGAGCGCCCTGAGGGTTGCTTGTGCGTATAGGACAGTATCGGATGACGCGGTGGGGGTCATTGCTGGTATGGTCCCGATTGTCATCCTGGCGGAGGAGCGCAGATACCGTTACCAGCGAAGGGAGGAGCTGCGGAGAATAGTTGGCCCCATGCCGGACCTGGCTGAAGAGGCATGGCAAAGGAGTCTGGAGGCCTGGCAGCAACACTGGGAGGCCTCGAGGAAGGGAAGGTGGACCTATCGTCTAATTCCGAAAGTGAGGACCTGGCTCGAGCGACGTCATGGGGCAGTAAACTTTTATGTCACGCAGCTGCTGTCCGGACACGGCTGTTTCCGTGGTTACCTGCACAGGTTTGGGCACGATGATAACCCAGAGTGCCCTACCTGTCCAGGGATTGTTGAGGACGCGGAGCATTGCTTCTTCGGATGCCCCCGGTTCAGGAGGAGTCGGAGGAAGTGGCATCGTGCAGTGGGAATAGAATCCTCGCCCGAAGAGCTGGTGGAAACCATGATTGTTTCCGAAGCGAACTGGCAAGCGACCAGTGACTTCGCGGCGGAGGTGCTTAAGGAGCTCCGCGAAAAGGAGCGTGAAAGGAGAGAGGAAGCCCGATTGGTAAGTGGCCATTTTAATACCTCGCACGTAATGCATGATTAACTAGGAGGAGCATGCCATGCACGCTAGTACCCCC